TTGCAAAATGCAATCCAAATAGCCTTGTCTTGTTCCGAGCAAAAGTCACGGGGCTTCGAGGAAGGGGAAAAAGCCGGGGGATTTGTCTGAGAATTGGAGCGCGATTGCGGATCACCACGTCATTACATAAAAGCGGGGCCCCGACTCGTTTTGCTTATTTCTATTCTTGCAAATGATGTAAGTACGTTGCTCCGCGTCGCGTGCGTTATGCATCTAAGTCACAAAGGGACGCTGGGGCTCCGGCCGGGAGCAAAGATAAAACCGCGGTGAGCTCATATCATTCCGCCTTTGCTCCGATCCGGGGCGGTCTGTCTCTTATATCCAGCTCCCAATCCGCACACTAGACACGAAGCAGTTGCTTTCCGGGACCGGCGGACCGGTTATTGAAATTGATGGACTGAGCGATGGAAAAAGAAGATATAGATAATTGTAAAATTGAAAATTTTTAAAAATTTACGAAAATTTAAAAACTTTTCAAACAAACTTTAAAATCACTCTTTTGCATAAACTATTTCAATTTTTTTTTTCAGAAAGAACCAAGAAACAGAAACTTGAAATAGTTCATGCAAGTGAGTGATTTTAAAGTTTGTTTTAAAACTTTTAAATTTTCGTAAATTTTTAAAAATTTTCAATTTTACATACTCAACAACTTGTGTAGTGATTTAAACTCCTGTAACATTTTCTCAAGATGTAGAGAGTATGGAACGATCCTATTGGTTGAAATGGGTCGTTCCTATAGACGAAAGGAGAAAATGATGGACTAACTATCGGGTTCCTCGTGGGTTGCCGTTGCTTACTCTATTACCTACCTTATTTGTCCATTGCAACCACCCGCTTCCACCAATAGGATGCCTCTATATCTCTTTTGTCTTCTTTGTCTATCAAATTCAATAATCGGCCCGCAGAGCTAAGGGTCTTTATTCTTATTGGTTCCTTGGACAGTCATTTTCCTTACGGAGGCCCCATTCCCCATATGGGCGTATTTCTATCAAATAGAACTATGTGCAGGGGGAAAGATGGGGTGTGCTCGTTCGTGCTCCAGGCCATAAGAATGAATAGGAAATCTAAAGCGCCAGTGACGAAACCATCGCCGCAGCTCCTCGTAGTGGGCATCAACTCATGAGCCCTATCTACAAGGCTCTAGATACATGCCCATGGCTCATACACTGTGCACATAGTTCCGTTTGACAAAACGTGAAATCCCACCTCTCCAATTTACCAAACGAAACTGTGAGCCAACCAAGTGCGGCACCCGTGAGCCGTGGTCATGTATCTAGAGCCTTGTGGACAGGGCTCATGAGTTAAAGACCGCCCCGATCGTCGTTCCTCTCGTCGTTGCCGCTGACGTCACTGGCGCTTTGTATTTCCCATTCATTCTTATGGCCCGAGCACGAACGAACAAACCCCATCTTTCCCTCTCCACATATGTATAATTCTACTTCATAGAAATACGCCCATATGTTTTACTTATTGTGATGAAAGAAGGTTTAGCGGAGAGAGGAGAAAAGTAATAAAAAGGACAATTTCGATAAGAAATTTTAAGTAAAATTGGACGTAATTCTACCGAACGGAACCGGAGACAGGTGGAAAAGAAGGGGAGTGCTCCTTAGTAGAGGGTCATAAAAATGAGTCAGAATTATTGAGCGCCAAAGACGTCAGCGACGATGGATTCGGGATCGGGGACGGGGCTTTTTAACTCATGAGCCCTGTCCACAACGCTGTTGACACATGCCAGCGGCTTATGAGTTTACATACAGTTGGTGCTTACGATTAGTTTTTTTTACCATCTTTTCCACACGTCTGAAATTCCCCTTAACAGATATATGTTTATTTATTAGAATACCTTTAGAAATAAACCCTTGCAAGGGGCCACAAGGATGGTGCCATTCTGGAGGTAAATTGTGAAAGCAAACCTCTATAGTATGATTGGGTTATGTGAAAGTTCTTACACTTTTCCGATTTGCCTTTAGTCCGTAATTTTTGGCTGAAAAAATGACTTTCAAGGTCGGTATAAGGATCCAACCCCTTTTCAAACGGAAAAATATTGCGTCAACGGATTTTGTGACGTCATGTCACAAAAACAATTGACCATCAATCCTTTCCACTCTCGTTTATATTGATTGATTTTCCTGTCATAGTTGTAATAAGAGGTTACAATTGCGACCATGTTTGCAATCTGAAGTGAATCTTTTTGTAGTTTTTCGATTTTGAAATCGTTCATTCTTGATGTTGATCGTGTGACAGCCATGCTACTTTGAAATTAACGTGGTTAAAACCCTCGGCAATCGCAGCATTTGATGATACAATCTTCAAGTCACAAAAAAAGTTGTTTTATTGCTACAACTGTAAGCTTCCTTTTTCCAGTCAAAAAACTTTTCAGAGCTTTTTCAAGTTCGAAAATGCGTTTCGAGAATATTGGATAGTATTAAAATTGATTTAAGTCACACTCATATTTCAGGCAATGGAGAGTTACCAAGTGTCTATGTTTTCATATATTTCATACTACACACAACTGAGTGAACTGTGCAATGTTGTGTGTGGAGAAACGGGGATTTCTTGTGTGGATCGCATTTAGCAAAAAGGAACCAGCGCGGTTACGGTGTTTTCAAAATTATGCAACTTCTTCTTTTCTTTCAAAAATACTTAATATATGTGCATTGTACAGTATTCAAATTTGCACAATTAATTTTCTTCAAAATTACACATTTTTTTGTTGGGAATAAAAAACTATTTGCTATTCTTGGATATTTTGTAGATAGTTAAAAAGAGACAACAGTTTTACAACACTGTAATCTCGCTGGTTCCTTTTTGCTAAATGCGATCCATTTAGTCTCTAAATTGATCAATTATTCGAGGATATATGACGCAGGATATATGAGGATATATGAGGAGCTTCGAGGATATATGATAATAACCTGGGTAATGAATTTTTTAATAGGATATTCTGTCTAATGACATCGTAAAGCTGTGCATTTCCTCACTTTCAAATCTACACATGCATATATATTTCTGCAATTTGCCGAATCAAAAAAATCAGATAAAATATTTCAAACTGAGCTCATTAAGTACTTTTACACGAAGCTACACATTTTTTCGTGCAAATTCCCCATTTCTAAATCATACTGCCATGCTAAGGAAGAACGCCGTATGAACATTCGAGAGTTGGCGAATTTCCCCGGATAAAACATGTATTCTTGACAAAATGTATGCATATTTTTCCTCGAAATTTTCAGATATTTTAGATTAAATTGCGTACAAAATTGTCTGAAAATTTTGAAAGTAATATTCGCAATTTTCCCAGTAAATTTGGTTTCTATTGGAGGAAACTTGGCAACGTTTAAAGGCTCATACAGCATTCTTCTTTAGCACGGCAGTATATAAACCGGCTAGCTATGATAATCGCTTCGTTCTGAAATTACATTCATTCCCAGTCAAATGAACGTAAATTAGCCAAACGTCAACAACTAATGAAGGATTTCATGTGCTCGTGAGGTGAAAGGAGAGTGTGCGATGGTAGAGTGGCTGATCGGTCGAGCAGAACCTTTGTGAGTCTGCATAATGAGCCACAAAATACGCATTGATTGCTAATACGCCATTTTAACAGAGTAGTTCGCTCCAACGACTCCTCGATATCAAGGGTCCTCAAACTCTAAGTAGCCACGCTTAGAACTTGTAACGGCATTCAAACGTCTACTCGACATCATTTTAAGCAGAACTCATACATCAAGCTCCATCGGGATAATTCAAAAGTATCTTACGGAAAAAAAAATTGATATACAGGAGTGATACAGGGGCTGAATTTTGTCGGTCCTTCCACCGTACTTAAATATACTTAGCAAGGGTCTCGACTGCACTTAAATCCGGCTCAGCGTTTCTGATTGGCCGGTGGTGCGGTTTGGACTCATCGATGGATGTTGCACTCCATGTGAAAGAGCCAACAAAATTCGGCCCCGGGGTTAAACGGCCAGATTGCAGGAGCCGAGACACCCTCAAACCTCCTCTTTAAATTGAGATTTCGATTTTTTCTAAATCATTTATGAATTCAGGGTAAAGTACAAAAAAGCACAAATTTTCATGAGATTTGGTTCACAACCGTTGCCAAAATTCAGGAAAAACGATTTGTTTTCCGAAATTTTGGGGGCCGTAACTCCGACTGGTGGCACTTTTGGAAAAAAAAACTTTATACAACAAAAAAGTTTTATTTTGACCCGTAGGTGATCTACGGGTTCTACGGGTGCATGAGCGTGTTGCGCATGCAGTATGGCCATTTAACCCTGGGTCACCTTGTATGCTCAAACCCATGACGAAAATTGAATAACGCGTTATCTTCAATTGTAACGCTTAATGTCGCCGTTCTTTTATCATCGTTTTATATCAGAAAAAACTTATATAAGTACAAAATTTTTGATTGCTCGTGAATTTTCTTTATTCGTTGACAAATATTAACAGAAAATATTCAGTAGGTAATCCGGTTAAATTTTCCTCTGAAAATGTTTTACTTTTTTGAACATTTTGAACAATGCAATGGGGAAACATATTTCTCTCCGTTGCCATAAATTTACCAATAAAAATATACGTAAAATAAAAGTAATATTGAAAACTAATGTTTCTTTTAAATAAAGGAAGAAACATTGTTTTTCGGGGAAAAAATCAAATTTTACGTAAGATCGGAGAAGTGCAGGAAATAACCAAAAGTTTTTTTTCCCCTTTGATATTTGTGCTGTTCGTTTGAGTACCAGTGGCGTGGCAGGCTTTGCGATCTATCGGTATTTCACCATTTGAAGCTGTGGCTAATAATCGATTATTAAGGTGTTCGCTGCGAACACTCTGTTTATCGATACTTTCTCATAGGTTTAAATGGTCGATTAATCGATGTATCGCAAAGCACGCCGCGCCACTGTTGAGTACGGTATGATCCCTGATAACAGTATCCCTAATTGAATTTTCATCTCCTTACAAGTGTACTGGCTTTTAACCTGATTTTTAAATCTTTATTTCAGGCTGATAATGAGGTTTAGCTATGAGTGGCTCATCTTGATAATTTTGGTGCTAATGTCAATCTGTCTCACTTATACTGCCTCAGAGGACAAAAGTTTGGCTTCAACCAAGCTACCGCTGGTAAGAATTTACGTTCAATGCTATCAACCATGGTATATTTGAAGCATGTCTTCGTTCCGTTTCCTCAGTATTTGTTAGTTTTACTCGCGTCTACAAAGGACACCTCTCAACACGAAAGTACTTTGAAGAGGGCACCTACACTAATATTGAAGACATTCTTTGTAAAACATAAACGATAAGTTATTTTTAAGGTAAAATAAAACAAAATTATAATGATTAAGGCACAGCTCTGAGTGGTTGATCTGCATTATCCGGTGCAAATACACCCAAAAATGATTGTCTTATTGGAAATCGTTCAATGTAATGGAGGACGGAAAACTGTAAATTTGAGGAAAGCGCTTTAAAGTTGTCAGCTCTGTCAACAGCCCTTGAAATGCATCACTTTGAGCGATTAATGGTGCAAATAATGGCTTGAAATTTTGAATTATATTTCAAAATGTTAAGCAAAATTGATTTCAAATTAACTATAGTTTTAGAGGACTTAAGAGCGTTAAGAAGTGTACAGCATCAAAAAAACAAAAAAAACAAAAAAACAAAAAAAAAAAATCAACACCCTCCTAATTAGTTATTTTTCGCTGACTGAATTTTCCACCGTAAGGGCCCTTTTGCTCGAGTCCATCAGGCATCACGCATCACGCAAAAAAATAAATGAATAAATAAAAAAAATTATTAAACATTATTGATTTGAAGAAAATCGTATTTTGTTGATTTTATCTAACTGATGTCACCTTCAATCTTTCGAAATACGCCACAAGTTCACCCGAGAGAACTGAAATATAGTTAATTATTGAAGATACCAACCGATGGTTTAAGTCTACCTCCGTCCAGCCAACTTGAAAATATAGGGATTTAAGCTAGAGTGAACCAAAGATCACTTGTATGTCCTAGAACACACAAATTAAGTAACCTAAATTAAATACACCGATTCAAGGTATTAAATCCTTGGATTCCTATCTCCATTCCAACGTTTGAAAATGTCAGATTATGTCTTGTTTTTTTCTTTCTCTTTTTTTTAAAAAAAGAAAGCTCTAATGAAATTTTTTAAACAATCAAAACTAGTTAAAAAATTTGTCGTTGGACCATTTTTTCGTGGCGCGAACGTGGCGACGGGCAAAATCATGAGCTGCGACAAGCGTCTCTCGGTTTCTATCCACGCACACGAGGATCACGTCTAGGACCAAGCGCCAAGGTCAAGAGTAGTTGCATTACGGAGTGAAAGAGCGCGCTTGAGTCAATGAAATAATTAGCGACTCACCCCGGCGCCGGCCGCCTCGCGTCTTGCGTGCCAGATCGTGTCATCGTGTGTCGACTCCCCGACCGTCGCACAAAGGATTGAGTCCATAGGAGAGGTCGGACAAAATCTTGGAACTTTAAACGCTTATAACTCCGTTTATACAAAACTTTGAGGTTCTGAAAGTAGCTCCATTGGTTTTTTCGTGAAATTTTCTTTCAGACACACTCCTCAAAATTAAAAATGTGACGAAATAAACATCAACATTTGCAGTTTTAATCAAAAACCTCATGTGAGACCTCTCCTAATGACTCGATCCACTGTGCGTCGACTGGGCCAACCAAGTCCGAGAGGCCGCCGATCCGCCCGAGATGGCAGCGCCTGGCGGTTATGCAACCCGTGTGTAACTGGGGTTGGGTAACTGTGCGAACGGAGTCTAGTCGAAGACCCGGTCGAACGCACCAATTGTGCAACAAGGATTGATGATGAAGATGAAACCCCCCAATGTGCTAATGTTCGCCCGATCAAGCCTAGAAATGTAAAATGAAATGATATTTTTCAAGAATTACATCAATTTTTCAGGGGCTAAACATGCAACCTGCAACACATATTCATGCGAAACCTTCACTCCAGCTTTGGATTTTTGTCTCCAAAATCGAGAGGCTTTCGAGGACTTGTCCTCGACGCATGAGTGCAGTTTTTGAAAAAATTAAGATTTTGATTATTTAAAGTAAAAATATAGCAAATTCTGTCTGAAAATTTCTCCCGAACTCCAACTTCCAAGTATCAAAAAGACAGTTTGAACTTTAATTCCGCCATGAGGATCCGTGTTATTTCGAAACTTTCAAACACGTGTTTCTCGAAGTAGCAAAAACTGCACTTATGCGCTATGTCCTCCAAGTTGCTTAATTGGACTACATTTTGCAATAAGGTACCACTATCTCTGGCCCTTCCATAAAAGCACATATCTGCATAAGGAAACCAATGGCACGTATGTTGTTTCTAAAATGGGCCATAAATATTGGTTCCTAATCGCAAAATGTAATCCAAATTTTCGTACCGATCTCTTGCGTGGCGCTGCGTTAACATAATGTACCTACTTGTACTTCGAGTTTACATTAGAGAAAAAAAAATAAGAAGTGGTTGCCAGTGAAGATTAGTACCATGCATGTGACGCCAACTACGAAAACAAATCTAAACCTTGGTCTGAAATGACTCCAGGGGCGTACCCTAACCTAACCTAACTTCGAGTTAGGTTTGCGATTTGGACGTAGGAACTATGCGCAAGTGGAAAGATGGGGTGTGCTCTTGGAGGCTGGAACAGAAACAATGTAAAAATGGATATAGTTCCTTTTGAGAAAATAGAAAAGCGTGAGCCGTGGACATGTAACAAGAGCGTTGTGGACACGGCTCATGAGTTAAAGACGAGCAAGAGCGGACATGGGTACGGCCTCGTTGCCGCTGACGTCACGGGCGCTTTTAAAGTCCCGTTCATTCTTATGACCCTCAATGACGAGCACACTCCATCTTTCCACTTGCAAATAGTTCCATTTAGCATAAATGCGTCCATTGATCGATTGATCTGCCATTTAAACCGATGGAAAAGGATCGATAAGCAGGGCCTTTGCAACGGACCCCTAAATACATTAATCGATTCTTTACAATATCCTCAATTGGGGAGAAATCGATGGACGACACACCTCCCCATTGAATGGCTTAGCACGGTAGTAGTTCCGTTCAAATCGACTCTATGGCTTACTTCTTTACTGCGTGTTTGTCTCTCCACAAAAGAGGCGGTGTTGTGACGTGGCACCGACCAATCAACTATTGTCTCACTTTTCTACTCTGCGTTGAAGTCGTCACACACTAGGGTTTTTTCGTGTACCGATCGATGATCCTTATTCCCTTTTTCGAGTACATGCAAACACTGAGAAGGAAACTTCGGGTACAGATACCAAACGTAGGATTGCATCGTATGGTAGCTGAAAGTCTTCAGTGATGGAAACCGATTCAGGTTGGATAACCGAAGCTTCCGGTAAAAAGCGAGTCTGAATATGCCGGAAAAAACTTTGACTGTAAGAACCATAGTTTGATTTTTGTGACCCGCAAAATCTGTTTCCTGGACCAAAGCTTTAAAAGGCCGTCAAAAGTGACATTTTTCTCTCCAAGAGCTATGTTGTAATCAAGAGGCCAAGTCAAACGGGTATTCTTTGAAGAAGTGGCGAGGCGTGAATGATCGATTATCGATAGTTCCCAATTTTGAAGCTGTGCATGGTAAGGAATTGATTTTTAAGGTCCTCGTTGCGAACACCGTGTTTGTCGATCCTTTTCTATAGGTTTAAATGGTAGATCAATCGATAAATCGCAAAGCACGCACGCCACTGCTTTGAAGCACCGGCAATGCGAAGAGTTGAAGATGTATTTGGCGATGTAAGTCAGATGCTGACATTTTCTGTCGATGTCAACGAACTTTTTTTGTCATTACGAACGCTGACGACGGTTCATCATTCCAATGTTGCCACATGCTGCAAAAAATGAGGATATGCTCACATGCGGATCCTAAATGCCGCGTTGGAGGGATAGACACATAATCGATGCAGCTGATCATAGAAATATTTTGCCACTCCTTAAAAAATAAAGTCAACACATTCAAAAGTAATTAAAATACGTTTTTCATGCCTGAGAAATTGCTACTATATGAAGCATCTTCCTCGGGCATGTTCTCTTACTAGCCAACGAACTCTCTCGCTTTCAACGTAATCTTACTTAAATCATTATAATAAATTAATTCTCTAATTCTGGGACGTTTTGTTGGTATTCCTGGACTTCCTGGAGTTCTTCTGTAAGGAGCTACTTTGTATATCATCGTATTTTCCGTGCCATTTGGCATCTTCCTCGTTCTTGGTCACGGAGACTATCCGAATTCTGATGAAGAGCATCGACTTCACGAACGTCGGATTGAGATATTCTCCGCGTTAATGGAGACACCTCATGCACCGATGCGATGAGTCGATGATCACCCGGCCGATTTGAGCCGAACGATCTCCAAAGTTGCCAACTGGCACTGATAAATCATTTTTTGTCATGGGAACGGAGTTCCCCATGATATTACAATCGTTCCGTTGCTTTCGCTATGGGATTCCCTATACCTCTGCGACCTTGAGCGTTTCGCCCAGTCTCCGATTTTTGGTTGGTTTTCCGATGTATCAAAAACCGTTGTATTTTTTAGCCAATCATGTCTCTACGTCAAGTTGTGTTGATTGCTAAAATTCGCTTTCAGCGAGTTTTTTTCCACCTTGAGATGTCGTGTCTGACTGGTAAATCTGCGCAGAACCACGAAGTTCCGTTTTTAGGCAAATTCTTTTTTTTGGGAGGTTCTGATTGGTTATTTTTCGCCATCAGTTTTCTGTTCGTTGGTGCAAAAGATCGCCTACCTCG